TCTGCCTTTGGAGTAGGCAGATCTGATTTTTGGGTTCGTTTGCTTCTGAGGTAGAGATTTGGAGATGATCTCATTCCCCATTGTAAAAGACTCAAAGGGTGTTGTAAGTGTAAAGGTGGTTTTTATTTGAAAAGATTATTAGCAATTCAGTCGTACGTTTCCTCGTGTCTATAATCACGTCATAATGTAAAGTTGACTTTTATTTAGAGAGACCCTTAGTCGTTTCTGGTTGTGTATCTTTTGTGTTACTATATGACACAAGCGGATGTACAACCGAATACAGGGAAAATTCTCTTTGCTTGGATGACATTGAAGTGAAATAAATGAGGGGAAATCATAGATTGAAAAACTCTAATCATATAAAAGTGCTCATTCACTTTGTGCTTATGATTGATAGTGTATGTATATAGGTGAGTGTAAGCAACACTGCTAACAAGCAAAAATGTAACTGTTGAGGTCTTAAGCTCGATTTCTCCTACTACATAAAAAGAAAATTATCCCACTATATATGTCGGAAAAAGTAGCTTAGATTAGAGTCGTGTTAACATCTCATACGAGATTTGTAAGGAGTCATCAATTGATAATTAAATAAGGATTAAGGAATTAGAATCGAACCCATTACTGTCGAAAGTGAACCCCCACACACCACCACCCCCCCCCCCCCCCCCCAAAAAAAAAAAAAAAAACTAGAGCTCATAGCATCATACTTTTACCAAAGCGTTTGCTGCTTGATTACCTTCACGAAAAATATGAGCCTAAGAGTCATAATTAATAGTGACACTTAGTTAGATTAAATTAAACCAGTCATGGATTTGATTAATTTTGGTTATGCTTGTCCCTTGTATAGTTGTATATGGCCAGGCAGATATATAGTAGGTATGGCTTAACATGTTGCTGCTTCACAAAGCATGTGAGGCATATCATTTTGTATTACAAAAAGGGTATTAGGACCAACCAAGTCAATTAGAGTTTGAGTACCATTTTTTTATATACCAATATGCACATATCATCTGTTTTTATATATACAAACAAAATGACACCATTTTCTCTCTGTATACCAATCATATTTCATTTGAGAGGCACCATGATTTTGTAAAACATACATTTGGATATCCATTAAACATAGCAAATCGGTCGTGTTAGTCGCGTTTGCGTCATACCTGTTATCTTAACATATTATGTTATGTCAAACCCATTATCTTAATGAGTTCTTAATAAGTGATTAGATAACAACGTGACTTGTTAATAGGTTGACTTGAAACCTGTTATATTCTTGTCGTTTAGTGTTGGGTTAATGGGTCATCCAAGAAATTGTCAGGCCTAATATCCATATAAATTACCACTAACTCACTCCTTTCTCTGTCTTGCTTCTGAAATGAGTTCTTCAAAAAGCTAAGTCCTTTATTTTTATTAAGTTTGATGCAGATTTGTAGAGGGAGATTCAAACTTGAATGTAAAGACCAAGCACTTTGACTGACTGGCCTAACCTGTATCAGCCTAAAACCCCAATTTTTACCTTCAAATTTTTGTCATTGTACCCTGAAGATTGCTAACAAAAGCTAGTGCTGCTCTTGCCTTAAGGAAAATATTAATCTTGAAGATGTGAAAAAGCATGAATCTTGAAGATTTTCAAAGGCCCACAATATTCATAGGAGAAATTTATGTGCAGGCTGCCGAGGCTAGCTAGATTCTCGTTGTTTATGAACCTCTATCTGCTCAAGTATCCAAACCAACATGCAATGAGTGGAAGGTATGGACAAAGGGAGCATCAACTTGAACTAGAAAATTGAAAAAATTAAAAGGGGAAAACCCAGCTAGAAACAAAACTGATTCCCTTGACCCAATCTTTTTGTTTTGGTTAGCATCTAACTGGTGTGTTTATTATAATAGGCAAATTGCACCAACCGTTATGACTGACTTTTCTCATGTGGGTGGGTTGGAAAATCATTGGAAGGCGTTCAAACGAGGCTAGAATCATACGTTGACTGTAGATACACATGAGTCTCACAATTTTACGTTCAATTCAGACTATGCGGGGTATATTGTCATCTTTATGAGACTCACATGCATCTATAGTTAAAAACACACCAATCACACACAATAGAAAGAAAGAGTGCAAGACTATATGAGAAGAAAGAAACTATCCTTTCTTTGCGACCATGGATGCACTCAAGTTCCGTGGTATGCTAGGGTTGTTCTTGACCATGTGATTTATGTGAGCTTTGTTATGTGGCTCATGCGCAACTACGATCGAAATCACTAATGCACGTATGTGCGACTAACCTAGTAATTCTTTAATTGTCGTTTTATTATCGTCCCCCATTCTATGAAGTTGAACACATATCACACGTAGTTGTTCAATGCCTTACCAATTAAGCAAAGAGTGCAAGACTAGATGAGAGAAGACGAGTGGGCAAAGAAACATCTTCTTTATGGCATTCATCAATCAAAACAAGAAAAACAGATAAGCGAAAGTTCAACTGGCCCTGCTGTATTTAACTCCATGGATTTGGCCAAGACAATGCCTTTGGCTTTTAGCCCGTCAAAGTCGCCCACCATGGAGACATTTTCACAAACTCACCACCAGTTGTCACATTGTGGGGCCACTATTAGTTATTACGTGATTTGGTATATCAAATGCTATAATATAAGTGATTGATTTTTTTTTTCAAATATCCATAACACTTGGTACAACGAGCAATCTTTCTAACACACTGAAAATTCTATTCACCCACATAACCCCCCAATTATTATTCAATATTTGATTAACTCCACCACACCAGTCTTTAGTTTGATTATATTGCAAATAAAGACACTGGAAGTATGTGCCGTGTTCACGCGGTTTTGCGACCATGGAAGCAGCATCGTTTGACGTTTTCCTTGCTTTTTATACACAACCAGTTGCTATATGAATAGATGAAATTAACAGGATATTTCTCTTAATTAAAAAAGTTTAGTACTTTTTTAACGTAATGTTTGATACTTTGGTTTAGTGGGATAAACTCACACATAATGCTACAAATTTTCCTTAATGAAGTGATTAAAATCAAATATTGACGATATATTGATCAAATATTAACAAAAAAATTGATCAAGCATTAATGACCTATGATCAACTATTGACGATATATTGATCAAATATTGAAAAGTGATTATTTCAATGTTTAGAATTTGTGAATTGATAATTTTGAGAAATTTCTAAGAATACTCTTAGTTTAGCATTTAGGTTGAACTTGCAACCGGACAAAAACCTAATCCAATTCAATTGTAAAGGATTGGTTCGGGTTAGGGTTAGGTTGAAAGTTGAGAATTGAGAATGAATCTCATATTGATAAAAGAATGGACATTGTATGAGCTTATGAGATAGTTAGGTTACTCTTTGTATTGCCAATTTTATGGTGAAACCTTAATTTTCTTTATGGTATAAGAGCATGTTGTCTCGCATGTGAGAGCAATTGCCACACATGCTTCATGTTACCCTATTTGTATTGTCCACGTGTTTGGCTTGAAAATTTGCCACATGTTGGGGGAAGGGGAATGTTGAGAATAAACCCATATTGATGAGAGATGAGACCTTAGATAGACTTATATATAAGGTGAAATATTCTCCGTATTGTCAATTGAGAATAAACCCATATTGATGAGAGATGAGACCTTAGATAGACTTATATATAAGGTGAAATATTCTCCGTATTGTCAATTGATTTTATGATTGAATCTCAACTTTTTCCCTTGACTTGCAACCCCCATTAGTTGCACGCTTAGACGTCCATTGTTGAAAGAAAGAGAGACAAGGACCGGCGGATAGGGGAAATTGAGAGGGTGAGGAGAGAGGGACGCCGATGCTAGGTGATAATCGCTGGAGAGATAGACTTTAAAGTTTCATAGAATTTTGGCTACGTTTATTAAGAATGCACTACAAAAATTAGTTAAGAGGGATGTCAAAATTTGACTAGATGCAATTTATGTTAAGGTGTCATTTTGAAAGTCTCTTGTTTAGTGTATTTTTAATGCATTTGTAGTGTTTTAGCAGTGTCTTTGTTGTGTTTGAGTACTCATTGGTGGTGTCCATATAGAATTGTTTGTATTCAAGACGTACACCACATATCATAACACAAGTGGAGAAAATGATATATTTTTTCTTGGTTACTCAAATATGAGGAGTACCTACTCAAAAGAGTTTTATGTAGAAGCTCCTATTCATCATTTGAATAATAAATATTATTCTTATTTTATAACATATGGAGTACCTGCTTGAACACTAAATACTTGAAAAAATTTCTCATAGTTCAACATTTACTATAAGACTCGTTTGTATACAACACGTATTTGAGTAGTCATTAGTGGTGTCCATATAAGACTCATTTGTATGCAACACGTACTCCACATGTCATAACATAAGGGGAGAAAATGATATATTTTTTAGTAATGTTATTCTTATCACAATTTTATAATATATTTATTTACTACCTTAAGATGGCAGATAAGTTGGATAAGATACATCATTTAATTTCAATCTTTTTATTAATTAAAACACTTAAATAATCTTAGGTGGAAGAAGGAAACTTATTATATACCATAATCATAATTTAATTAACAATTTTTTTATTAATTATTGATTAACATTTTGAAATTAAATGCTAATTAATTTAAAAGATATGACTGTCCACATCAGATATCACTTAAAATTGTATACAATTGTGGTACAAAAATATATTAAGAAAAGCATTATTGTATCTTTTTTTCGTTTTCCCTACTTATTTTATAACATGTAAAGTACCATTTGAATATTGGATATTAAAAAAATTTCTCAAAGAGTTCAACATTTACTGGACCACATCTCACCACCACCCCACTAACCCCACTCCACGTGGCACCCAAAACCAGGTTTTCAAGCTGTCAAATCCTCATTGGCTCCTACTTTTCCCCATAAACAAACAAATCTGTTTTCCCTGTACATAAATGATTGAGAGCTGCTAGCGTGCGCATGGTGTGCAGAGGGTGTAAGGGAAAATAAAGGGTGAAAGGGAAGAAGGAGACAGTGCGCATTATTATTAGCCAACCCACCATAGTAGGAGCAGGAGCTTTGCTAGGTCTGTGTGAACCGCTCAAGGTCTCCCCCCTCTAATTCTGGCACCCAAACCCTAAAAAATCCCCATCTCTCTCTCTCTCTCTCTCTCTCTCTCTCTCTCTCTCTCGCTCTCTCTAAATCTCTTTTTGTTGATCTGGTATTTTGCTGCTGTTAATTTCTCTTTCTTTATGGATTTGTGATTTTTCTGGAGGAATGCTTTCTGGGTTTTTGATTTGGTTTCTCTTTGATTATGTATGCAGAGAGAGATAGTGTTTGGATTTGATTGTATTGGAGTTCTCATTGATTAGATAAAAAAAAACCCAAAAAAACAGAATGGCTGCTCCACCGGCGAGGGCTAGAGCCGATTACGATTACCTCATAAAGCTTCTGTTGATCGGCGACAGCGGTGAGTATTTTTTTCCCGAATTTTTAGATCGATTTTATGTTTAATGTGTCAATTTTGTAGCAAATGGTATGATGTATTGGAAAGTTGTAGCATTTTTGCATTCAGATCATAAGAATGTGGCTTTAGGCTTTAAGATTTGATGAGCTTAGGGTTTCAATCAGAAGTATATTGGAAAAAGGGGTTTTCCTTTCTGGGTAGTTTAGATCTGGTTTGATTCAGATTGAAATTATTTCTTCCTGATTTATGAGCTTCTGGTGTCAAATAATGTGAGCATTTGATTATAGTATAGTGTAGTGGAATTTATGAACGGTTGTTTGAGCTTCTGATTCAGTTTTTTGATCAAATGAAGTCGTGCATTCGTGTTTATGATTTTTCATTTTTTTTTCTTTTAAAGTTTGTGTTGAATGCAATGTCTTGCTAGTTTAGTCACGTGTATTTGCTCTTATACGTGAGTAGTAACTTATAATAGGTTGCTAACCAAAATGCGGTTTCTATGAACCACTTTATCTATTATATTATGGAGCTTTTGCTGCAATATGTTTAGATTAGCAAATACCTAACTAAGTAGTATATTGGAGACTCTAGTTCTTACTTGACACGGTCGGTAGCATGTTGACTGCTTCAATTGGTATAGGAATTTTGATATTACAAATAATGTACTTGGCAGATAGCCAATGCTAAATTGGATACATGTCTTAATAATTTCTATTCATCTTTGCAGGTGTTGGTAAGAGTTGCCTTCTTTTGCGTTTCTCAGATGGTTCCTTCACCACTAGTTTCATAACAACCATTGGGTGTGTGTTCCCTGGCCTTAGAGTTTATTGCATCTGATAAGTTTTTCTGTTTAGAAGCTTCCTAAACCTCATGGGCTTATTTATCCTTGTGAAGCATTGATTTCAAGATAAGGACCATTGAGCTTGATGGAAAACGAATTAAGCTCCAAATTTGGGACACAGCTGGTCAGGAGCGGTTCCGTACGATCACAACTGGTAAAAATTTATTATCATAGGTACTTGCATGTTGATTTTACAAAATACTGATGGTGGTATATTCATTGCCCATGTTGCTCTTGATGGAAGATGGATTTGCATGAGATTTTCGACACCTTTTAGTTTCCACTTTCAGAGTTTTTCTAGAGACAAGGTTTTAAATTCTACATCCTGAGTTCCTTACTAAAAAATTGGCCAGAAAAGTCGTAGTTTTTTGTTACAAGTGGCTTTTGAAGAAAATAGCGATTGGATCCAAATAATGTGCCTTTTAGAAGAAAAGGGAAGAGTGAGGGTCCCATTAAAAGGTGGATTATAAGCAGGCTGTTGCCAGAATGGCTCTTGGGGAACATGGGAACCCAGCAGTAAAGGAGGAAATGCAATGCTTATGGTCATATATTCTAGACTAGAAAAAGGGTATAGGTTGACTTTTAGTACCAAGCAGGCATGCTGGACAAGGTGGTCCCAAAATAAAGCATGAAACAGGCACATTCAGATGCAGAGCATCTTTTACTAGTATGTACATTGGATGACCCTTACAAAAAGAAACTGGAAAAGATGTCATCTCTTGTATCTGATGAATTCCTCAATTGGTGCTGGCTGAGACCAGTATTTCCATGGGGTTTGCAAGCCCATAATGCAAGTTCCCACAAAGTATTTAGTTACTGGAACTGTGATCAGTTAACTAGCTGCTGCTCGAGTCTGTTACTTGCGGCAGGGTGAGGAGGCACATTGAAGTGGCCTGCGAGTACCCTATGTTTTTTTAACCAAGAGCTAGAAGCCTATAAATAATGGGTGAAACTTTTTATGAAAAACTTTACAATAGGGCCTGTGAGGCACATTGAAGTGACTTCATATCTTTGAATGCCCTGCTGGTGTGTTGTGTGTGCTCTATTACTTTTTAGATAATAAATTTTCTTCTCTATTAACTATTCCTTCTGTCCCAGCTTACTATCGTGGAGCCATGGGCATTTTGCTGGTCTATGATGTAACCGATGAATCATCTTTCAATAGTAAACTTCTCTCCCTTACTCCAATTTCTTACCTGTCAACATCTGCCTCTCTTCTACTTTTGGTTTACTTGAATCTGCTTTGTTTGAAAGTTTCTCACTTGGCTTGTTGCTGCTTTCAGACATAAGGAATTGGATTCGCAACATTGAACAGCATGCATCAGATAATGTTAACAAAATACTTGTAGGGAACAAGGCTGACATGGACGAAAGCAAACGGGTGAGCTTGTGCTTGAAATTTATCATGATAAGATGCCTTTTTTTCAGATTGCTTCGAGTTATCATTGGGCAAGCTTGTTTATCTTGCATGTTGATGATGCTTGTTGGCACCATAGCAAGAGTTTTCTTCCTGGTCTTAGTAAATGGGGCAATTCTTATCGGGGTCCTAGTTTTGCTCGGAATTTTTTTAGTTACAGAAACATATGTTTGCACCCTTCCTGATCTTATCTTCACTCTCCTTTTAGGCTGTGCCTACCTCCAAGGGCCAAGCACTTGCTGACGAATATGGGATCAAGTTCTTTGAAACTGTAAGTAACGCCTAAGAATTGCGGAAACTAGTTGAATAATAAACGTTGCTGTTTACTGAAAGATATTGCATAATGCAGAGTGCAAAGACGAATCTTAATGTGGAGCAAGTTTTCTTTTCAATAGCAAGAGACATAAAGCAACGGCTTGCAGATACCGACACTAGGGCTGAGGTATTTCATTTGCTTTCCGATTTTGTATTAAAAGGATATAATCTCCATTTCGTTTTTCTTTCTTTTTTTTTTTTTGTTTTTTTTCCGAAGCTCGCTTGTTTAAGGATTTAAATGACTTTGGTTTTATTCCGGCGTTGTAGCCTACCACAATCAAGATCAACCAACCTGACCAGGGAGCCGGGGGCGGTCAAGCTGCACAAAGATCAGCTTGCTGCGGTTCTTAAGTTGGTAACATTGTGATCAACGGGGGGGGCATATTGAAGACGTACAAATGTTCGAAAAGACGAAAAAGCTAATTGTATGACGATACAATATGATGGTGCTTGTGATCTCTTTCCTTTTTTCTTCTTTTCGTATCATTCTTTCGAAACTTAGTGTGTGGAAGGTAGTTTCTTATTGTTTCAGATTTTCATCGTTTTACATGTTCGTGGTAAAGACTTGACGTGTAACCTGTGGCAGGCACATTTTTGTTTACTGCCCCATCTCCTTCCTAGTGTGTTAAAAGATAGATTGGATGCTTATTATCTGAGACTTTCATGTGTCTAAACTTGAAGCCTTTGCCACATGTTTTTATAGTCAGCAAAAACCCTCATCATAATTTGATATCTTAAGTCAGGATGTAGCGTTTATTGCCACCGGAAAACTTTGCGGACGGTATTGCCACCGGAAAACTTTGTTCCAATTTCACGAGAAGGAAACTGAAACCATGTTCACAACTAGCCAAAATGACTGCCCCAACCAGTGCCATAGCAAACAGAGCAGCACCGTAAACCTTAGTTCCGACATCACCACCGCCACCTGCTGACAGTCGAGGGTGAGGATAAGGGGAAGGGAAACAGAAAATAGCCATTTGTTTTCTAAAATTTTCAAGGGCTAATGTCGGAACCAGAGAAACCTAAATGTATGATGGGTTAAACGAGATTGACTCGTAAACTCTGCCATGGAAGAAAAAGCTCGAGCTACAAAACTGCACAAGCAACCCAATGAGAGCTATAAAGTGACAGTTGAACTGTACCCAATTCACAAAAAAGCATAAATTCCTCCATCCATTTGCCATACAAAATACTTTAAAAAGTAATTATTTCGCGCGTAAGAAGAAAAACTTTCTCCAATCCTCTATACAAACACACCTACAAGTTCAGTTCCTCCTTTCCATAAATACGCTGAAGTTCACGAGTTGCCGCTTGAAAGGATTCTGATGAACAAACGTTTAAATAAGCGAAAGGAAGAGACAAGCTATGCTGGATACAAATTTAAAATTGATGAATGTTTAAAGTCACAGAAAGAAGAGAACAATAATTGGAATTCATTACCTCTCCAACTGTTAAAAGCCTTCTGATTGATCGGAGCACCAAACACAGTTTGAAGTGTATCAAACAACAAGCTCTCAGGCGTGCTCTTTAATTCTTGCACTATCTGATAGATGGTCTTGCCATTCTCAAAGAATATGTGATTGTTTGGATGCTTTGTTTTGCAACCAGCATGGCACTCAAACTCGTAAGCATTAAGCACCTTCCATAAACCAAATATCCACGTTGAGTCATGATAAAACGTAAACAAGAAGAGAAACATTCGGATGATTTACCTCAAGAGTAGTTTATTGAGAGGAAGACTTACCTTAGTATAATTACATGATTGACAACCACATAGATAGCCGACACCTTTGATAATCCCGCGAAGCTCCTTGTTACATAAAGGGATATAACAAGTCATTAGAAAGAAATCCTAGATTCCTAACTGAACAAAAATGGCCAAGAAGCTCAGAAGCTTACCTCACGTGCCAAGGAAACATATTTTACAGGAACCCCATCAAGCATGCCCGTAGAAATCAAGCTCCTAACATTCGACGGGAAGCTGTTTGGAGCTTGTTTCCTTGACGTTTTGACCTCGGGTTTATTCTTCGAAACTGACTCAGGTCTTGTTTTGGCTACAAAGGCAGTATTATCAACTGCACTGGCATTTGATGTGTCCAATTCCTTCTCGCACGCAGTTTCTGATGTTTGAACTGAAGAAGGATGGTATAATTGATTATAGTTACCAACAGGCCTGCCCATGGCTATATCTTGATCACCAGGAAACCCCCCAAAAGATATCATACTTGCATTCCCTTTATTATAACTGTCAGCCATTGCTACCACACTTTCATCCCCCTTGCCATAGTTGGAACATATTGATCTGCCATGGTCATCCCTCTGGTTGTAGGCATGACCCATTAGTAAGACACTACCGTGCTCCTTATCATAGGCCTGCCCGACTGATAAAAAACCAGTTTCATTTACCCTATCAAATGCCTGATTTGTGGACAGGTTACTATTATTTTCCCTATTGGAACCATGTTCCCTTGAAGCATGCATGCCATTGTCACCGTACCTTACCTGATTGACTTTGACTTTTCTAATTCCAGCATAGCTAAGAGTTTCAGGATCTTCTGTAGCATGAGATACTGACAAACTAACAGATCCGTCTTCTCCAAACTGGTCACCGATACCCTTCCTTAGATTCCAATTATCTGATCCGACAGGAGACACGTTCCTTTCAGCAAAGCTGACAGAGCTTGCTGTATCAGATCCAAATAACCGGTCAATGAATTGATGCGGAACTGACTGGAAGCCTGAAGCATTCTCCCAAGAAGGGACATTTTCATTTGACATTCCAGAGCTCAATTTGCTGTTTGGAATATGTACTGCTTGCTTCTTGTTTGGAAACAGCTCTGCTTCACTAGCATCTACAAACCATTGCTGAGATCGCTTTGGCTCAATTCTTGAAGGGTTGCCAAAAGTTCCATCTCCCTCATTTACATATCCGCCACTCTTTGGCATCCAAAAACCCTTGTTCTGGAAAGACTGCCAGTACCAAATACTCAATAAATGAAATCCATTGCATGCTTAAACATGCACAAATGTCTAATGATTAAGACAGGAACACTAAAAGGAAACTTTTAAAGCATTTTACTTGAATCAAACAGCGAAAAATTTCATCAACTAATCATATGCTTAATCCTTTCAACTTTGGAACATCTAAACATTTCAGAATTTTGACAATCCTAAAAGAACGACACATCACCTGGAAATCTATCTACAAACATGATATACTGATATACCAAATAAATGAGAACTTCAAGAGCAGCTGAAACAAACTATAACACACACTCTAGTCGAAATCACCCTTCTCGCTAGCCTTGTATTATTGCAGCGTCGAGGTACTAACAATAACCACACAATGCCAAAGTTTAAGAATAGAATTTCTTAAAATTTTTAACTTTGAATCGTACCCCAACGAAAGAATTTTGCAGTCATAAACACCACAAGGATAATTAATTTGAAAAATAAATCACAATAAGCAAACCACACCAACACACAAAAACCACAATTAAGCAACCACCAGCACCAAGTCCAACCAGATGAACACATTGGAGTTAGTAGGGGGAAAAAGTTACAACTTACCATTTTCCTCCTCCTACTTCACAGTAAAAAATTTCCCCCTTACTCTTCCATTTCTGCAGTGAGCGTCAACACGCACGGACTGTGATGAATTCCATCTGCATATACGCACACATACACAGAGATGTTCAAAAATTAAAAATTCAGAAGCGTATGAACTTTCTGTCAATTCAAACCCTAAAAGTCAACAAAATCCCCAAAAAAATCCCCAAATTTCTTCCTACAACTGCATGAGATAACAAAAGCGATGAACCTAGAAATGAAGAAGGATATAATATTACAAGCAGCCGTACCTTTAGCCGCAGCAGGCCCATGGTCCGTCGACGACCGATCAATTTGCCCGCGAAGAAACTCCGGCGACGAAATTAAAAGATTGAAAAGTTGAGAGAACGAAAGAGAGGGGAAGTTAGGGTAGCTGAGGAGCACTCGATCTTTTCTCCGGGAAAAGAAAATAAAAATTCGGTGAGGCCGCATGCGAGGAAACTCGCGGTTACTTTGATCATCACCGTCCATGTGTGCGATTAATAACAAATCACAGCCGTTTATTACGAGGCCGGTCTTTAATCGAGTGTAGTTTCGTCTTTTGGCTTTCGCTTCCCTAGCAAATTAGGCTTCGTTTTTTTCATTTTATTTTTTTTTTTAGATTTTTTTTATATTTTTATTTTAAAAATTAAGGGGAAAAAACAGTCCATTACACGCGTAATTTAATTCTGTTAGTAGATTTTAAAATTAATTTTTTATTTTAAAATTTTAATTAAAAGAGATTTTTGGAATTAGCCTTCCATATATAGATATGATAAAACGTGTAATAATTTCTTGATTGTTAAGAAATATTTTTGAATTACAATGCCTCTCCAATTAGGATTGAACTTTTCTGAAAATCCTAGACCATTTTTTATTAGGAGTTACCCCACGTATATAAATAGGGTAAAACACTCATTCATCAAAACCACCAAAGCTCTAAGAAAACAAAATTAGAAGCCTTCATTCACTTTTCACCAAGCAAACAAGACCCCAAGCAACATGTCTTGCATCAGTTTCACGACACTTGAATCATCTGCTCGAATGGAACACGAAGAACTAGAGTCTATGTTTGTGGAAGCTGATCAAGTAATGGTGGATCATAAACCAACCATCCAAGAAGAACTAGAGTCTAAGTTTGTGGAAGCTGATCAAGTAATGGTGGATCATAAACCAATCATCCAAGAAGAACTAGAGTCTAAGTTTGTGGAAGCTGATCAAGTAATGGCCGATCATAAACCAACCATCGACTACATGCGACTGACATCTTTCTTGGAGTTCGATAACTCGTTCTTGACGCCGTGGAACTGGAACCCTAGTGGCCCTTCAACAAGTGATAGTAAATCAAGTTTGCAGACAACAAGCCAAGATTACGTTATGTTCCAACCTGGTTTATTCTTTACCCGCGGATACGAGGGTGAACTCGTTGCAGTAAGAGACGATGATCATGATCAGTATACGTACTCCAATGAGTTTACTGCAATGATTTTAAGGGGTTGTGATCTTGAATGAATAATGAACGAGACCTATGGCAAGTTAACGTAGTAGGAAGGAGAAACCATCAAGGATATAGAGATCGAGGAGCAAAGTGTAGTAGTTTACAAATTGCGATTTCTCTTAATGAATATTTCTTTTGTTACAATGTAAGATAATTGATTTTTTTTTCTTTATAATGATATTTTACGTACTTTAAACTAATAAATTTCATGACAGAAAATTTTAATTCGGAAGCTTATATAGGAAAAACACATCCACTCTATCCAATGTAGCTACATCCACGTATGTGAAGAAAATTAAACCTTTTAATGGATTAGATTAATCTAATGAATTGCTACGATAGATGGTAAACTCGTTGATCTAGTAACTACAATTATATTCCAATATGGAGAAGTTCGTATTGTTAAAAATCCACATTAGAATCCCTTCTAACGTGTCTAAAGAATTTTTTATCTTCCATCGACTACAAGCAACTGACGTCCTTCTTGGAATTCGATAACTCGTTCTTGACGCCATGGAATTGGAACCCTAGTGCTCCTGCATGTAAGCCAAGCAGAAAAAAC